GCTCCAAATTGACGTTTCAAAAACATCGAACTTCCAGAACACTTGATTTTACCGGAAGCCATGATAATAATACGATCTCCTAAAGCATCAGCTTCCTCCATAAAATGAGTTGTCAATAAAATGGACAAATCTTTTCTCAATTCCAGTAAAAGGTTCCATAACTGTCGTCGAGATTCTGGATCAAGACCTGATGTTGGTTCATCAAGAATCAATGTTTCCGAGGAAGTTGTTAGTGCCAAAGCCAATTGAAGACGACGTCTCATACCACCCGATAAATTGGAAGCCAGTGTATTAGCTTTATCTGTCAAGTTGACTCGCTTTATATTCAATGGTATTATATCTTTTTTCATTTGCGGACTTAAGCCTCGTAAACCAGTAACAAGCTCAAGATTTTCTGTAACTGTGAGTTCTTCAAACAACAAATCAGATTGCGGACACAAAGCAAGACGACGGCGAGCTGCAGCAGTATCCTGATGAACATCTATACCATGAACCAAAATTTTACCCGATGTAGGCGGGAGTAATCCTGTTATCATTGACATTGTCGTCGTTTTGCCAGCTCCATTGTGACCAAGAAGAACAGTTATTTGACCTTTATAAATATTCATATCAAGTCCGTTTACAGCAAACTTTTTAGTGCCCATTGGCCCAAAGGCTTTATACAAATTGGTGCATTGAATATTGGTTTTTAGATCGCTTGGCTCTGCTTCATTTTTATCAGCTTTGGCATTGGTATTGGTTTCATCCAAGTTGTAAAATGGTGCTGTGTCATCAAGAGTTTGATTATTTTTTGATTTTCTTGTGAATCGTGAAACTGGAAAATACCATGGCTTAGGTGTTCCAGTTTGCCAAGGCCACACAGCATCTAAGTACCAAATCAAGGCAAGGTAGGCTAACCATGCAATAATAGCTGTCAAATAGATTGATCGGAAACTGATACTTTCAGCAACATCAAGTGATGAGAACAAATCTGACAAAGAAACTTTTTGCTTTTCACCAAAGTAAAACATATCGTAAATTGAATAATAAAGTTGACCGTCGGGAAGAAAACATGACCATATTTTTGGCGAAATCCAGAGAAGATTAGATTTATCTGTTTTAGCAGTAAATGCTAAATAAGATAGTCCAGCACGGCCTACAATTAAAATCAAAACACCGATTATCGGGCGAGTCAATATCGTTGAAAATGTAAATGTAAGAAGGATATTCGATACAGAAACGAAGGTATAATTAAACCAAAATACTCCGCCATTCCAACCAGGATATGGATTCTTCTCAAAAATGGAATACAGTATTGTAATGGCAGATGCATGGAAAATACTCAAGAAGAAATAATTGATAAAGTGAGAAATCCAATAAATGACATCAGATAATCCCATAATTCTTAGTAATTCCTTTGAATTTGTCGCTTTCTCTTGAATAATACGACGAGCTATAATTATAGATACATAGATAAACCCAACTTGGAGAAAAGTATAAGCCTGATAAAAGTCCACAGCATCTGGTAATCCACCTGGCTCTGGAGTTGGATCACCATTTTTATTATTTGCATAATTTTGCTCACTACTTGGATCACCTTCATCAAACAATTTGTTGGTATAGTGATAACTGAAATCGTCTATTGTAAGCTTTTCTCCATTCGGATAACTCGCCAATAGTATGTTAAGTATTGACTGGGGGCTCACATATGATTCATAGGATGGTGGAAAGGAACTATCAGACCAAGGTCCAGGGTATACTAATCTTCCAGTTCCAATGGTGAAATTAGCGATACCTTTATCTAGATCAAGTTCATTGATAAAAAGAGCTGGACTTGTTGTATAGATGCTTTCAACTGAATTACCCCAATCTTTAATCACGTCAAATTCACTTTGTTCAGCAACTGTTCGCAGCTTACATTTTGAAACAGCTGGATTCAGAAAGCCTGAAATATCCCCAATCGCTGAATAGTAAAAGAATTGTCCATAGGAGGAACAGTAAAATGTACCGTCATTATAGAAGTATTCATCCGAATGTTTTGAAACTTGCTGTACCATCGGTGAATTATATTGCAATTTCGTACTAGGCAACGGGGATATTGGCACTTGATTAGACTTAGCAGACAATGATACAAGATGAATAAAAACGAGCCAAATTGGTAGCAATAGTTCTAATATTGTGACAATCCAATGTCTCTTTCTAATAAGCCAATCCTTTTTGTACATGGCTTTCAATTGTTCCCAATGTAGAGATACCATATTGAAATGCAGATCTTAAATACACCTTTTGATCTCTTCTTTTGGGTTAAACAGTTTGTTTATGATGACTGTTGAAGCAATAAAAAGTACGGACACGTACAACAATGTAATTAATCACTGGGATGGCATAAAAAATAGCTGCAATGATCACAAAAACATTGAAGGTTTGAGGTGGTAATTGGTAAATAAACTAACGAGTAAACTTGTGTGTTATAAATGTTTATTATTTTTATTTGTAAATGTTATCTTTTGATAAATCTATCGAAAATGGGAATTTAGTTGATTTTTGCATTATTATGATTACTTACATGTGGATATTATGATACCATAGTCTAACAGGATTCGATTAACTGTTATCGAAAATCAACCCCGCTGAGAAGAGTAAGATGTTCCATTTTCCAGTCAATTCATTTTCCAAGAATAGATAGAGTATGAAGTATTACTGTAATATGTAGTGCTAAGAGTAGAGTAGATTAGAGTATCAATTCTTGGAAATTGTCTGATTATCACTGTTCAATTATCAAGATTTATACTAACTTGTAAATTAATTTTTCGCTCTTATACGTTTTATCCTAACTCTTAGCGGGAGTTGCTTTTTGATATCAGCCCGATTTATGATCGAGTGTTATCTTGAAAACATCTATTCCTGGAAAATAGCTGATTACTATGAAGTGGGCAACAAATAGAGACCAAAGGTTTAACAAGTTAAAGGATATCATTGGATTTAATTCAAAAATTTTGTCTCTTGTCCAACCAGAAACGCTTTATGTTGAACAGAATGAGATTTAGAAACATTTGAATGTCTTCAATATTTCAAATCTATTTGTTATTCTCGTTACTGGCAATATCAAGATCTAAAACCGATGAGATTTAGTAAGTTTATTATACTTTATTTAATTGATTGATCACACGAACAACAAAATGTAAACTTGTAAAATACAAACTCGTATTCTAGATAAGGTCCCTTTCAACCTACCCGGAAGACCCAGTACTCGTCATCATTTTCAAAATTTTTATAAATCTGTTTTAATAAAATTTTTAACTCTCCTCTATACCCAATCCGATGACAAAATGAAGACATTTTAAAAGTTTAAATATTTATTTCATCAAATTTACATGAATTATATTACATAAACGTTAATGCTCATTTAACAAAACATTAAGGTTTAATCATGCAGAGTTTAACAGTCCTCAAGAAGTAAACATTCACCAAGACTATTTTCGTAATAGCCTTTCGGACATTCAGGTTGTCCAGTACAATATTGTATACAATCACAGGATATTCACAGGTCAATGGATAAGCAGAACCACAGACAATCAGCACTTTTTTAACCTTCCGAAGTGTAACCTTGCCAAGGGAAATTGTGAGGAGAGAGAAGACAATCAAGATAAGAGTTGATTTCATTTTCAGGGATTTTAGTTAGTAACTAATTCGTAACTCAAGACTAAATGTTTCTTTGACTTTGTTGTCACTTGTTTTGTATCAAATCTTACCCCACTTAGATCGTTGTTGAGCTTTTCAATCAAACACGTAAACTAATCAATCTTTTTGTTTCAAAATTTGCAGAAATTTTATCGATCATTTCTTGGAAATAATACTTATCGAGATGGATGCAAATGTATTATTTTATTATATAGTTCATTGATAGTCAATTACTCAATCAAAATTCTACTGAAATCATGAAAATCATCAAATCCGGCTTTGACTTATGATCTACAATACTTTTGTTATTGATCAGCATTAAACGATAAATACAATCGAATTGATTACTCAAAAGATGAAATGTGCGTCATTTGTCCATGCCAATGTATAGCATTGGTTTGAAATGGACGAAACGACAATTATTAGTCATTTTTTAATAAATCTTAAAGTGATAATTACATGGAAGTATATTTATCGATGGTGTTTTACTTCGAAGCATAAAAATAAGACCTGTTCTCATTAATCGACTTACTCATGGAATGGAAAAAACAAGCTGTAACAATCAGACGATTTAGTCAAGTTAATGACACAACCTTTGTTCATTTTTAATGATAACTTGATTCACTTCCTTTCGGGTCAAATATCTATTATCATGATCAATCAACTCATTTTCCCACTAAGCAATATTGACTTACAGTGAATCATTTCCAATTTGAAATATTTCTCATTGCAGTCAACTCACACTGAAAGAGTCTGAATTCCTAATGAAAAGAATCGTGTAAAAATGTGAAAAGTAACAAATGGGTTTACTTGTGAAGATTTAGATTTTAGATTTGATATTGTGTTCCATTGATTCATTCTGAAAAAGGTGAACTAAATACAACCTATGAACAGAACCCAAAATCTATTATAGAATAAAAAAACAAAGCTTTTTCACGGTATCAGACGAGGTACAAAAGAATCAAATTTTTCGCCAAATTTGTTCTCAGTTCGTGTTTTGTTATTCATTTAAAGAACTAAGAATAACATACAACAACTCTTGTTCTTTGAAAATATTGTAACAATACAAAACTTTTGACATAACCTTAAATATGAAGTGAGTCAAAATTATAAAAATTAAGTTATAGCTTGAGCATGATTTTGCCAGATTAATGTTTTATTTAGGGTAATTATTCATTTTCATCATTATTGTGATGCACAAAAAAGATAACTGTTGATTCAGGGAATAGATGCAAGTCTCTTCAGCATCCAGTTATGCCATATTCAGCGTAGATTTGCTTTGTTTGCTATTTCAACTCATCAGGTTTTACACACGAAAAAATGCTGAAAAAAGGACCTTCGATTATGCACTAAAATATATATTTATTAATATTATGTGAATTTTGTTGGTTAAGGTTATCAACCATTACAGTGTAAATTCAATTTTATTCAAGTTTGAATATCATTACTGGAGAACTGGCCAATATTTACAGCCGCTTTGAACTATTGGGCCAACGGAATCGCTAGAAACGCCAATTTTATTAACCAACAAATGGATCAGTTCAGCATACTTGTCAGCACTCATGGTGTTAGTCCTGGATAAAATCAAACCACCTTCTGTGATAATTTAAAAGTTGAATTATCATTAATACAAAGCAATTTACATGAACAAACGTCTAGTTGATCAACTTGAGGGATACTTACGGATGGTGGAGCGACCAACATCGGTATAACAAGCATAAGCAGCCAGATAGTTATCGTAATCAGTATCGGCTATATAAAAGGTAAGAAGGTATGGAGTCTCTGGAAATGGAAATAATTATCATAATATTTATCGAGATAAAAAGAGTAGAAAAAATATTTATTGATCATTAGATTGCCAAATGAATAAGACAAATGATGCATAAAGTAAGACAAAATTACTTACTGTAGCCCATAGGGTAGAGATTGAGTGAATTTTGTGCATCAGTTCGTCCAGCTAACCCATATTCAACATGTTTTGAACCACTAGACGATGGATGAAGAATTTACATTACAAACAATTTAAATCAATCAACTATGTTTACTTACTTTTGAAAAGTTGAAAGAACTGTAAGGTTGAAGTTTCCATCCTTTCGAAGATTGAAATCTTCGGTAATGCATGTTAAATTTGGTGAAATTTGGTGAGCAGTTGGTCCAGCAATTTCATACCATCGACCGGCAATCTAAATCCAACACCAAATTAATGGATAAAGTCAAGCGTATTGGATAAAAACTTTAAATTATTGTAAACTTACTTTGCCAATATCTGCACCAGGAGCCTTTGGAGGAACAGGACAATCACCAAGAGCTGAAGAAGCAAAAGCAAAGACAACGAAGAGAGTTGCGATCATTTTCAGTTTTTTTCACAATACAAGGAATTAAATGTTTTTTAATGAAACTTGTTGATTAACTGACGCTAATGTGTCAAAAATAATCTCATTTTATACTTTATTTCCCCAATTAATCAAATAATAATTATCTATAAATCTTATATAAATTATTATAAATTATCAAGAATCATGCTTTTCATTGAATAATGAACTCAAGGTAAAAAGATGAGTTTGTGATTTGTGAAGGGAATGAAGATCCTGTCATATTTAACAAGAAATTTGATAATTTAATCTGAAATAAATCTATCACATTAATAAAAAATACAATTTTCTGTACAATACAGCTTGGATGTACCAACTGAATTCTGGTTAATTTTGTTTTTAGATAAGATAATGTAGAAGTTATATTCATTTGATTCATAATATCATTTGCTGATTATTTTGATTTGCAGAAATGATTTAAATTGTTGCATTAATAACAAGAAACTTTTTGGTCTTTGGAAGTTGTTTAAATCTGGAATCAAATTCCTGACCATGATGCATTACTATTTTAATGACAATTTAGCTGAGTAAATTTCATTTATCATTCAACGCATCAATCAGCAACATGGTTCAATTGTGTGCTAAACATTTTCTTTTATTGTGGTCCAGTTTGCTTTTCAACCAAATTTTAGCAGGTAAATATTTAGCTTTGTTGACTTTCTTTAATTATTTGTCTCTTGTTAAAGAATTACTTTATCCATTGATTATTGATCGTTTCAGAGCACCTTCAATTGTCCTTGAAACCTCGAATCTACAAAGGTGAACCAATCGAGAAAAGTAAACTTCCTTGGATTTCTTATCTAAGGTAATTTAATAGCTGTGATGCTGACTTATTCAAATCAGAATGGTTAACCTTTGGGCATCTTTATTCCTTTAGACTTTTCGCTCCAGATGATGCTTTTTACAATGAATGTGGTGGAGTTTTAATCGATGATGGACACGTCCTGACAGCAGCTCATTGTCTTTACCTTGATAATGAAACCATGGTCCAAATGAAAGATCTTTACATTTCATTTAATGTAACAGATAAGCCTTTACGCATGAAAAATGAGAATCCAAGTGAAACTTTTATCATTCACCCAAAATTTGATTACTCTCATGATTGGATCATGGAAAACGATTTAGCCATCATCAAATTGAAATCTCCTGTTGGACCAGCAATTAAACCCATATGTATCAGTCGAACAGTCAATCCAGCATTTGGTGATGAACTGGAAATAGCCGGGTATGGATCAATAGATGATTCTGGTTCTGAAAGTGACAGTTTACTTTATACAAAGGTTGACCTTATTCCAAGTAAGCTGTCTTTTATGCTTGCTTTTTGCTTGTTTACAGCTGCAACAAAGACAATTGACGTCTAATTTAAATGCTTCATTAATTACTTTCTGTTAATTTTGATTAATATACATAATATGTACCTTTTGTCACCATCTTGTAGGAGATGAATGCGACCAACAGAGAAGAGTTTTCGTAGATAAACAAATAGCTTCAGGTAAAATGGATCCAAACAAAGTTCCTGAGCTACTTGATACTCAAATATGTGCAATCAATCGCAAAACTCGAGGAGATTCGTGCCCAGGAGACTCAGGAGGACCATTGGTAGCCAAAACTAATTCAAGTCAATACAGTTTGATTGGAATTGTAACTGGTTCTTGGACAAACTGTGGATCTCCAGATGTTCCCGGTCTCTACACATGGGTTGCAAAATTCATGAACTGGATTGAATCCGTAGGCGCCAAACCATGTATCGTTTAGGTTTCCACGACTCAGACCAGAATGTTGCTCCACTCTCCAATTCTTAATTTCAATTTTGAACAGAAATAAAGTTAACAGCAAAGATCAATAAATGACAGAATAAAAGAAACCTCATTTAAGCTTAATCAAAGGAAATCCATAATTACACCGTTTAACACTTTTCCAAATTTAGTGAAATAACTTAACGACTATGAAGCAAACTCGGAAAGGCAAGAGTTAGTAGAAAATATTAGATAAATATCATTAAAAATAACATAAATATTAGTATTTAAATTAGGTTCAGCAAATTAAAAACAAGAAAATGCAAGTTTCAAAGACTACATAAAATTTCTCATTGCTCAAAGCATTACAGCGAGAAAAGCCGGAGTATGGCTGATATTTTCAGGGACTATCTTCTCAAAGTATTCCAGCTGTTACAGATATTCTTTATACAAAACCATGGCACAAAGTGGAATCCAACGATTTGATCAATTTTTCAATAAGGAATTCATTCGACAAAAAATATCTATGAATTTACATTAAGTTGAGACTGATAATCTTATTTCTAAAAAACTTAATCTTACAAACAGCGTCAACTCAGAGACTATTATTTTGGTAAAAACTCGACTGAATTCAATGGAATTATTGATAGGACTCAGAATGAGTGCGTAGCACTTTCAAACTATTCAGAGCTTTGTATTTATTAATTTTATTACGTGTTCAATTGTAAAGAGGCGTGCATATCCTCATTTCTTAAAGTCATTGAAACACTCAATTCACTACCAATCTCGTGATCGTTGCATGAGGTAGACAAATGATTTTATTTCATTATTCAAGTTTATAAACTCTGGAAGAAACCATTTCTCCATCATGTACTCGACATTAGCATTCAAATTGACCGAACTGGAGAAATTGCAATTGCTAATGATAATTTCCTCTTATTAACACCATTAAAATTGATATAAATCTGTTTGAATACAATTTTTAACCCCCTTATACAAAAAATGAAGACATTTTAAAAGTGAAAGTTTATCCACTAAAGTAATCAATATTACATGTACGAGTATTACAATAAACGTTATATTAATGCTCTTTAATATAAGGTCTAATCATGAAAAGTTTAAAAGTCCTCAAGAAGTAAACATTCACCAAGACTATTTTCGTAATAGCCTTTCGGACATTCAGATTGTACAGTACAATATTGCATACAATCACAGGATATGCACAGGTCAATGGATAAGCAGAACCACAGACAATCAGCACTTTTTTAACCTTCCGAAGTGTAACCTGGGAAATTGTGAGGAGAGAGAAGACAATCAGAGAAGAGTTGATTTCATTTTCAGGGATTTTAGTTAGTAACTGATTCGTAACTCAAGACTAAATGTTACTTTGACTTTGTTGTCACTTGTTTTGTATCAAATCTTACCCCACTCAGATCGTTGTTGAGCTTTTCAATCAAACATGTAAACTAATCAATCTTTTTGTTTCAAAATTTGCAGAAATTTTATCGATCATTTCTTGGAAATAATACTTATCGAGATGGATGCAAATGTATTATTTTATTATATAGTTCATTGATAGTCAATTACTCAATCAAAATTCTACTGAAATCATGAAAATCATCAAATCCGGCTTTGACTTATGATCCGCAATACTTTTGTTGGTGAACACCCAAAAGAGCAAAATACCAAATAAGCAAAATCGGTGCAAGCCAAAATATCTTAAACTCTTTAAGCTAATTCTAGATTCCAAATATCGAACTTTGTAGTCAATCCAATCTCGTTGCAACAACATCAAAATGTTCAAAATGATTAAGTCCAATCAAGGTCATGATTTGATTCTTTTTGATAAATTTGTGTATCGCAAAAAATCGAAGTATGGAACTACAACATATTGGACTTGTGAAAGTAAAGATTGTAAAGTTCGTGGCAAGTTAGTTGACGGAAATTTCACAGTAAATAGTGACCATCTTCATGAGCCTGATGAAATAAAATTGATCCAACGACATCAAAATAAATGGATAAAAGAAAAGGTCAAAACAAATCCAACTGATACTGGTCATCGAATATATTACGAGTCAATACAAGCCCTACGTGACGATCTAAATGTAAGTGCTGATCAATTTGAAGTGGCAATAAAACCTTTCATCAGTGTCCAATCGAATATTGCGAGGACTAAATTCCAACTTGTACCAAAGTTACCAGAGTCAAGGGAAGCAATAGAAATACCTGATAATTTCAAAAGATTACCAAACGGAGAGAATTTTTTAATAGCTAATGACGAAGGACCTGATAAAATATTGGTATTTGGTACTTTTCAATCATTCAAAAGACTGGTGGACTCAGATAAAATCTACATGGATGGAACATTCAAATTCTGCCCTCAACTATTTTATCAAATATACACAATTCATGTAATGATCGGTAAGTTAATGGTTCCTGTTGTTTACTGTTTACTTCCTGATAAAAGAAAAGTCACATACGATAGAATGTTCGATTTGCTGATAGATTATGGTTTACAACATGGTATGAACTTGAACCCAAAAGAATTTTCAATTGACTTTGAAGCAGCAATTTTATCATCAATTGAAAGCAAGTTTCCAACAGCAAAGATAACTGGTTGCATGTCTCATTTCGCTCAATGTATTAAACGAAAAGTACAAAGCTTAGGATTAATCAAGAAAGTTTATGAAAATGAAACTAACGACTACTTAAAGACAGTGAGAAGACTTGAATCTTTACCATTCATAAAGCAAGAGGATCTAACAGAAGTGTTTGAGACAATTGTTGTCCAATCGCCAGTAGATGAAAAAATGGACGAGTTGTTGGAATATTTCTTCGATAACTTCTATCGAGATGGAGCTCGTTTCCCTAATAGAATTTGGAATCCTTCTGATAATGACGGACCAATGACAACTAATCACATCGAGGGCTCGCATAATCGACTAAATCAATGCGTAAAAATTGCTCATCCTAATATTTGGGTATTCATACAAAGAATAATGGATCAACATAATCATAATGAATTGAAATTAATAGGCCAACAAAGCCCTCAAAATGGGGTACAAAGAAGGAAAAAGATTGAATTGATTGAAAACCGACTAAAAGAACTCAAGCAGAAGCACAACAACCGAGAAATCGACTCAATGAGATATTTGGACTTGGTCAAGTATATAAAAACAGCAATATAAATCATTCAATAATTCAATGTCATGATCAACCTAATTCATATCACTATAATTCACTGCATATTGCTTAAATTCCAATGTAATAATAACCAAAATTTCGTATTGAATTAATAAAAAAGTGCCACAGTAATATGAGCCATCTCTTAATAGCTTGATTCTTAATAATTTTATCACAAAATAAAGTTTCAAATGAGACGAATAATCCACTTCCATATTCTACGCTATTGTACTCATCAGGTTTTACACACGAAAAAATCCTGAAAAGAAGACCTTCGATTATGCACTGTAATATATATTTATTAATATTATGTAAATTTTGTTGGTTAAGGTTATCAACCATTACAGTGTAAATTCAATTTTATTCAAGTTTGAATATCATTACTGGAGAACTGGCCAATATTTACAGCCTCTTTGAACTATTGGGCCAACGGAATCGCTAGAAACGCCAATTTTATTAACCAACAAATCGATCAGTTCAGCATACTTGTCAGCACTCATGGTGTTAGTCCTGGATAAAATCAAACCACCTTCTGTGATAATTTAAAAGTTGAATTATCATTAATACAAAGCAATTTATATGAACAAACGTCTAGTTGATCAACTTGAGGGATACTTACGGATGGTGGAGAGACCAGCATCGGTATAACAAGCATAAGCAGCCAGATAGTTATCGTAATCAGTATCGGCTATATAAAAGGTAAGAAGGTATGGAGTCTCTGGAAATGGAAATAATCATCATAATATTTATCGAGATAAAAATAGTAGAAAAAATAATTATTGATCATTAGATTGTCAAATGAATAAGACACATGAGGCATAAAGTAAGACAAAATTACTTACTGTAGCCCATAGGGTAGAGATTGAGTGAATTTTGTGCATCAGTTCGTCCAGCTAGCCCATATTCAACATGTTTTGAACCACTAGACGATGAATGAAGAATTTACATTACAAACAATTTAAATCAATCAACTATGTTTACTTACTTTTGAAAAGTTGAAAGAACTGTAAGGTTGAAGTTTCCATCCTTTCGAAGAGTGAAATCTTCGGTAATGCATGTTAGATTTGGTGAAATTTGGTGAGCAGTTGGTCCAGCAATTTCATACCATCGACCGGCAATCTATATCAAACACCAAATTAATGGATAAAGTCAAGTGTAATGGATAAAAACTTTAAATTATTGTAAACTTACTTTGCCAATATCAGCACCAGGAACCGTTGGAGGAACAGGACAATCACCAAGAGCTGAAGAAGCAAAAGCAAAGACAACGAAGAGAGTTGCGATCATTTTCAGTTTTTTTCACAATACAAAGAATTAAATGTTTTTTAATGAAACTTGTTGATTAACTGACGCTAATGTGTCGAAAATAATCTCATTTTATACTTTATTTCCCCAATTAATCAAAAAATAATTATCTATAAATCTTATATAATTATTATAAATTATCAAGAATCATGCTTTTCATTGAATAATGAACGCAAGGTAAAAAGATGAGTTTGTGATTTGTAAAGGGAATGAAGATCCTGTCATATTTAACGAGAAATTTGATAATTGAATCAGAAATTTGATAATTTGATGATTTTACCAACTAAATTCTGGCTAATTTTGTTTTTAGATAAGATAATGTAGAATTTATATTCATTTGATTCATAATATTATTTGCTGATTGTTTTGATTTCGCAGAAATCATTTTAATTGTTGCATTAATAACAAGAAACTTTTTGGTCTTTGAAAGGTCTTTGAATCAAAAATCAAATGACCATGGCTGATCCCAAATTATTTTTACTGACAATTGTGAGTATAGTTATCGGAGCGTAGTGAAACGAAGTGAAGATTTTTAACTCAGGTCCCATTTTGAAAAACCACTTTTTAAATTTCTTGTTGGTCGCATAACTAATGAACGAAAACATCTGTCGAGTTGCTATTGACCACCAAACATCTATATAAGAAGAAGATTAACTGATCAACTTTTGGAGGTCATCCGAGGTCATTTTTCGGAAATTCGACCTTTGACCTTTAGAGCACTTTTGAAAGGTATTTCAAAATTTTTGCAGCATTTTGATCACTACACAACAGATTCATTATTATATCACTAAATATTTATACAATAGGACTTGAAACATGCAAAAAGTTATATAACACATGAAAGGATTCTGTTTAGAGAGTCAGTCTAAGATAAGCCACACAGACCAGCAAGACACACAACAAGTATAAATATCTCAATAGTGATGAGCAAAAGATGTATAAAAGGCAAAGGAATATCAAAGGATCTCCAGTCAGTAGCTGCATACGACGAAAAATGCGAAAAAGGTAGACATATGGGTTTCACATTTTTCGCCATGGAGTGACACATAAGATCAAAATTGTAATTAGTTCGTGATGTGAAGCTATAACTTTATCAAGTGTTGCATATCAGTCAGAGTAATTATTGGTAGATTCAAGTCTACCAAATCGAGTGTTTATGCACTTGCAGCCATTACAAATTAAATTTCTTATTCATTCATAAACTAAATGTATATCAATTTACAATCACAATCTATCACTTCTCAATACAATAGTACAATAGGGCGATCTATTACTAACGCTCCGATTTTGGCGAACGATCGTCTGACCTACATTGAATATGTAGTACAATGTAGTATACATTGAATCATCTTTGAATATCTGTATGAATCATTGGAAAGACTAATCTTCTTTCTTTCTAATCTGATTTTGTATTCAGAATGTCGACTGAGGAAGCTCATAAAATTGATGCATCTTTAATATTATAATAGTTTCATCTATTTTTAAATAAAACCTACGAGTTAATTTTTCTTAAACTCATTTCTAATTTTGATTTGATAGTCTAACAAGATGCCTCATTGCCTCACAATCTGAAGCCAATGCATCAAAAATGTTTCATATACAGCCGCGAAAGAAAAGGTTGACAGCACCACAAACAAGTTTTCTTTACAGAACACCCACGTTACCTTTCAAACTCAAGTCTAAAGTCTCATCATGTCCCGAAGAACAAGACAAGTTCATAGGGGTCTTGAGCATTGATGCAAAGTACCCCACACTTTGCTCTAGAATTTAAGGATAAGAAGGACTTCCCGAACCCTGAGGTATACCCAGTGAGAGAGACACTATCCCAACTTCCTTAACCGGTAGGTAAAGAAACTATGAGAGAGTCGAATTTCCCTGTAGCAAGGGTCTTACTGCCACCGAAGTAATCGGCTAAGATTGATCCCTTGCTCCCCTTTGCTACACTTCTCT